AGGGTGAGATTTTAGCTCTGAGCTCTGACCTCTCGGCTTTCTCTTTTACATTGTTTCTGTGTTTCTTATTTAATAAGACGGTTGGTTACATCTACAATAAATGGGCCAAGAAAGAAATCATAGAAACATCACTCTTTACAACAGTCGCAAATAATATAAAATACCTTGGAGTAACTCTAACTAAGCAAGTGAAGGACCTGTAGGACAAAAACTTTAAGTCCCAGAAAAAAGAAATTGAAAAAGAAGTCAAAAAATGGAAAGAGCTCCCATGCTCATGGAAAGGTAGGATTAACATAGTAAAAATGGCAATCTTACCAAAAGCATTCTACAGATTCAAAGCAATCCCCATCAAAATACCAACACAATTCTTCACAGACCTGGAAAGAATAATACTCAACTTCATATGGAAAAACAAAAAACCCAGGGCAGCTAGAAGAATTCTGTACAATAAAGCAACCTCTGGAGGCATCACAACCTCTGACTTCAAGCTCTACTATAGAGCTATAGTAATAAAAACAGCTTGGTACTGGCATAAAAACTGACATGTGGACCAATGGAATCAAATTTAAGACCCTGACATTAACCCACATACCTATGAACATATGATTTTGGACAAAGAAGCCAAAAGTGTACAGTGGAAAAAAGAAAGTATCTTCAACAAATAGTGCTGGCATAACTGGATGTCAACATGTAGAAGATTGCAATAGATCCATATCAGTCACCATGCACTAAACTCAAGTCCAAGTGGATCAAAGACCTCAACATAAATCCAGTTACACTGAACTTGATAGAAGAGAAAGTAGGAAGTAGTCTTAAATGCATTGGCACAGGAGACCACTTCCTAAATATAATACTAGTGGCAAAGACACTCAGAGCAACAATTAATAAATGGGACCTCTTGAAACTGAGAAGATTTTGTAGAGCAAAGGACATGGTCAATAAGACAAAATGACAGCCTACAGAATGGGAAAATATCTTTACCAACCCCACATCTAACAGAGGGCTGATCTCCAAAGTATAAAAAGAACTTTAGAAACTAGACATCAAAATACCTAACAATCCAATTAGAAAATGGGCTACAGAGCTAAACAGAGAATTCTCAATGGAAGAATCTCAAATGGCTGAGAGATATTTGAGGAATTGTTCAACATCCTTAGTCATTGGAGAAATGCAAATCAAAATGACTCTGAGATACCATCTTACACCTGTCAGAGTGGCTAAGATAAAAAACACTGAGGACAGCTTATGTTGGAGAGGATGTGGAGCATGGGGAACACCCCTCCACTGTTGGTGGTAGTGCAAACTTGTACAGCCACTTTTGTAATCAGTATGGTGGTTTCTCAGAAAATTGGGAATCAATCTTCCTCAAGACCCAGCTATACCACTCTTGAGCATATACCCAAGGAATGCTCAATCATACCACAAGAACACATGCTCAACTATGTTCATAGCAGCATTATTCATAACAGCCAGAAACTGGAGACAACCTAGATGCCCCTCAACTGAAGAATGGATAAAGAAAATGTGGCACATATACACAATGGAGTACTACTCAGCAAAGAAAAACAATGACATCATGAAATTTGCGGGCAAATGGATGGAACTAGAAAATATCCTGAGTGAGGTAACCCAGACTTAGAAGGACAAACATGGTATGTACTCACTCATAAGTGGATACTGGATTTAAAGCAAAGGATAACTGGACTACAACCCACAGCTCCAGGGAGACTAGCTAGCAGAGAGGACCCTAGGAAGGACTCATGGATCACCCAGCAAAGGAGAAATAGATGAGATCTAAATGAGCAAACTGGGGGTTAGGAGGTATAATGGAGGGCAAGGGATTGGGGATGAGGACACAGGGGAATGACAGAACAGAAAGGCAATAAAAAGACAGAACACAGGAAGAAGGTCTCTCAGGGAAGGACAGCAGTGAGTAGTAAGATAAGATGGTCTTAGCTCTTGGCTACTACTCGATCTCTGGGCTTTTAACTCTTTATTTGGCTCTGTTTCTTATTTAATAAGACCATTTAGAATTACATCTACACCTAAGTTTCTATTATACCTAAGCCTTCACAATATCCCTAAAGCCTATTCCACCCTAATATACCTAAGCCTACATTTATCAAACTAAACTTCACATAACTTCTATGACTTATTTATACTACCATTTTTAGACCTAATTTAGTAGATAGAGATTGAGAGAGAAACAGAGAAAGAGAGAGATACTTGCAGCAGCCTAACTTGAACTACTCTGCTTTATATTTAAATTTTTACTCTGAAGAATAGAATACAACCACCTCAACTTAATTCATTACCAGATATGCCCCCTGCTCTGCAGTGCCCCCTCTCTCTTCTCCTCTGTACCTAATTCCCTGTTTAGGCACCATCTGTGGGAGTCCAGCTCCCAACTTTTGAAGGGTTCTTAGGAGGAGGAGAGAGTAATGAGAAAATATCAGATAGAAAGGACCTAGAATACAAGTCAGAAACACAGAATAGTTCAGGAGGGCCTGAATCAATACCCAACAGCAACTTCATGTATTCAAAAGGGATTTTTATAACAATGCCAAGGGGTGGGACAAAAGACCTCCCCCTTGCAAGACCAAAGAACACCATACAACCAAGAGTAGAACCTTCCAAACACCTGGTAACCACAGCCATGGTCAGATCATCCCATTATACAGCCCTGCTTGGTAAAGCAAGCTCAGATTCTCTGACCCTGAGTAAGTTCTCACTAGGAAACCTCTGTGGGTTCCCACAAAAAGAATATACCTTCTTCTCAGCACCTCATGGAACCTTCTCTAAAACTGACCACATACTTGGTCACAAAGCAAATCTCAACAGATACAAAAAAATTGGAATAACCCACTGTTAGAATTCAACAACAACACAAATTACAGGAAGCTATGAACTCATGGGAACTGAAAACTGCTCAACTGAGTCTCCACTGGGTCAAGAAAGAAATAAAGAAATTAATGACTTCTTAGAATTCAATGAAAATGAATGTATAACATACTCAAACTTATGGTACACTATGAAAGCAGTACTAAGAGGAAAGTTCATAGCACTAAATACCTACATAAAGAAGATAGAGAAATTTCACACTATTGGCTTTACAGCATACTTAAAAGCTCTAGAACAAAAAGAAGCAAACTCACCCAGGAAGAATAGATGCCAGGAAATAATCAAATTGAGGGCTGAAAAGAATAAAATAGAAATAAAGAGAACAATACAAAAATCAATTAAACAAAGAGTTGGCTATTCAAGAAAATCAACAACATAGACAAAACCTTATCCAAGCTAACCAAAAGGCAAAGAGAGAATATCCAAGTTAACAAAATCAGAAATGAAAAGGAAGATATAACAACAATGAGAAAATCCAGAGAATCATCAAGTCATACTTCAAAAACCTGTACTCTACAAAATTGGAAAATCCAAAAGAAATGGACAATTTTTTCAATAGGTACTGCATACTAAAATTAAATCAAGACCAGATAAACAATTTAAATAGACCTATAACCCCTAAGGAAATAGAAACAGTCATTAAAAGTCTCCTAAGCACAAAAAAAAGCCTTGGGCCAGGTGGTTTGAGTGCAGAATTCTACCATATTTTCAAAGAAAACCTAATACCAATGCTCCTCAAATTGTTCCACACAATAGAAAACATAAGGAACATTGCCAAACTCTTTATATGAGGCTACAGTTACCCTGACACCCAAACCACACAAAGATATAACAAAGAAAGATAATTACAAACCAATCTCCCTCATGAACATTGATGCAAAAATACTCAATAAAATACCGACAAACTGAATTCAAGAAGACATAAAAAAAAATCATTCACCATGATCAAGTAGACTTCATCCCAGAGATACAGGGATGGGTCAACATACAAAAAATTGTCAATGTAATCCACCATATAAACAAATTGAAAGAAAAAATGGTCATCTCATTGGATGCTGAAAAAGCCTTTGACAAAAATCCAACACCCCTTCATAATAAAGGCCTTGGCAGGATCAGGGATACAAGGAACATACCTACACATAATAAAGGCAATTTACAGCAAGCCAACAGCCAAAAACAAATTAAATGGAGAGAAACTCAAATCAATTCCAGTAAAATCAGGAACAGGACAAGGCTATCCATTCTCCCTATATCTATTCAATATAGTACTTGAAGTTCTAGCTAGAGCAGTAAGACAACAAAAGGAGATCAAGGGGATACAAATTGGAAAAGAAGAAGTCAAACTTTTGCTATTACAGATTATATGATAGTAGACATAAGTGACCCCAAAAATTCTACCAGGGAACTCCGACAGCTGACAAACACCTTCAGTAATGTGGCAGGATACAAGATTAACTCATTTACCATGGTCTCCTATTCCTTGTTCTCCCTCTCTGTTCTTGATCCATCTGGATCAGGCCCTCTGAATGGGTGAGACAGTAGATTAGTAGATTAGCTTTATCTGTCTTTGGGAGGCATCCAGGCAGTGGGACCAGGTCCTGTGCTCATTTCATGAGTTGGCTGTTTGAAACCTGGGGCTTATGCAGGGTCGCTTGGCTCAGCCTGGGAAGAGGGGACTGGACCTGCCTGGATTGAGTCTACCAGGTTGATCTCAGTCCTTGGGGGAGGCTTTGCCCTGGAGGAGGTGGGAATGGAGGTAGGCTGAGGGGAAGGGGAGGGGGCGGGAGGGG